TCCTGCTGCAGAAATCCCTCCTTTGTGAAGGTTTTCTGTTCCATAATTGAAGAGCAGATCCCTTGGACCTAGGAGGGAGCTGTGAGTCTGGAGAGCGTGTTTTAAAATATCAGTCTGTCTCTGAAGCCTGTTGTGTTTATTTCTTGACCAGGTGCCTTATCAAGCTGAGCCTTTCTTGTTTCAGGGAAAGGAATGTTCTTGGCAAAATAGAGCACTCACAGATTATGGGTCTTCTAATGAGAGGTCCCTGAAAGGAAGCAGGCAGAGGAGTTTGCTTTGCAGAGGAAAATCCATAAAATATCTCTAGAAAACGATGAGTCACTGCTGCCTTCTTGTAAATGGTGTTCTTACTGAGGGGATTGTCTTCAGGAGTGTTTGTGTGTCTGACAATGTTTGTGCAGCTAGAGATTACTAAGAAATTGTTCTGAAGCATCTTATAGGTGTGAAATAGTCAAGACAGTGTGACTTTGATATAGCTGTACTGCCCAGACGAGATGGTGTAGGTCTGGGGATAGGAACATGTAGCACAGGTCAAAGAAAGGTAGTTTTATGGGTGAGATATTAATATAATTCATGAAGGAATGCTTAACATTTTCTGTGCTGCTAGGCCTATCCGTACCAAACTCAAACTGTGTTGTCTACTGCTCTTCAAAGATGTGTGCCTTCCTAGTGACATCAACTCCTCATGGCCATTCTAATTGATGCTCTGATACCATTATAGTACTTGTCCATGCCTGCTGCTTCTGCCTTGACCTGTTTGCCCTTGAACTGAGCCATAGACTGAGCTGCAAAAAGCTTGGTTTCAGCACAAGGAACCTCCTGCAGAGTTGGCTGCAGCTGTCAAGGTGAATGTGGTGCTACTCAGAGTGCCCCTTCTTCCTTGCTCTTTCTCTTTACCTAGTAATACTCCATTTATTTGGTTTTTACAGTCCCTCGGATCAATGGCCATCCGAAACTGGACAGGCACCGTGAGCACCCTCCTGGTTATGACAGCTCTTCTACCATGATGAGCAGTGAGCTGGAATCCAGCAGCTTCATTGACTCCGATGATGATGACAACACAAGCAGGTAGGGCATTGGCACAGTGACTGAGCTGTTAAATCCTGTTGGCTTTTGTTTCCCAGCCACTTGACTATTTCTGGGCTTGACTGGAGACATGAGAAGATTTATATCTTCTCTATTTCTTTTCCTTTCTTTTCTTCTTTCTTTTTTCCCCTGCTACGTATGATTTGAGCACTCATAATTCATCAGTAACATCATGTTGTGTATACTCTGAGAAACAAGCTAAGTTATTGGCATCACTGTTTCAATTAAGAGAAAATTTCTGTTCCTGTTCTTTCCTTTTAATA